ACACACACACACACACACACACACACACACACACAGAGTCAGTGAGTGATGTCTGAGATGATGATGATGATGAAGATGATGAAGGGCTCGTACTGGGGGGCCGGCGAGGCCAGGGGGGCCCTTACTGTCCTGAGTGCAGGTGCAGGCGCGCGGGAGAGATGGACACTCAGCTTCCTTTCTCTGCAAACAAACAAACACAGCAGCTGAATCACACACTGTACATGAACATGCATGATGATGTGAATCTCTCCATGAGTCACTATGAAATCATTCACATGAATCAGTTCAAACTTGCAATGACACACACACACACACACACACACTCTCACCAGGCTGGGCAGCTCGCAGCATTTGTCCCGTTGAGCCCATGACGTGCTGCAGACAATATCAAAGGACTGCAGCTGAAACTAAACATACACACAGATGTGAGGCGTGTTATTCTAACACTGAACCACATTTATGCATGCATTTCACATTGATCTCACACACACACGGTACCGGTGCAGAGTTGTCTTTGGATCCTCTGGATCGCACCATCCGTCCCAGAACCTCCACGCCATCAGTGCTGATGTTTTTGGCCGCATTAACAGGCTTCTCTCCTGCCGGTTTACAGTCGACCATCACAAGAGCCGACGTCTTACTGACGGCGATGTGCAGCTGCACTCACACACACACACACACACACACACACACACACACGTTAGACAACAGCACATTCACTGCTGGACCAGACAGGATCTCCTACGGCTGTGACCTCTGACCTTATGAAAACTGCCATAGAAGAGCTTCTGGATGTCCGGCCCCTCAAACGTCACCGTCTGAAAATCACCATTATAATCAGTGTTGAAGTAAGTCAGCGTCTTTCCTGGATCTGTGAAGTGAAACGAGAAGACGAGACATTTATCTTTAGAAGCATATTTTTATATTCATGCATCCAGCAGACGCTCTTACAACTGCACAATAATGATCAAATGTTAACCACGATTAGTTTACACAAAAAATAAAATCACGGTTATGTTTGCTGATGTTTTCAGCTCATCAGTGCTTTTTCCTCAGAGAGAGCACATGTGAATGGTTGCCAGGTTGGGAAGATTAAGTAAACCACTGGACAGAAAATGTATTGATTTATGAAAAAAACTCTGACTGGGGGATTTAATTTCTTGACATCTGGCAACCGCAACCATGAATGCCTGTGGAAGCTTGTTACCAAAGCAAGATAACGCAAATGCCAAATTAAAAACGTTTCAGTATAAATAAGCAGCGGGCAAATATCGCAGGCAATTATGCTTAATAAAACGACAGAAACAGAAAACCTGATGACAATTACATTATGATTCAATGTGCAGCACTAAGTCAAGGTAAACATGTGAGAATCGAACCCGTGAGCTGCAGAACTGTGACGGGGCGGTGTTACTCACTGTCCAGAATGACTCCCACCAGCGGCTCGTTGATGCTGTTGAGGACTTCCCACAATGCAAAGGGCTCCTGCGGCGTCTCGGGGAGCAGGCGGAAGACCATGGTGATGGTGTAGTCTGACGGCAGCCCCTCCGGATGGATGAACCTGCGCCATCAGAGTTCAGGCTGATTTCATTTCAATATCTCCAGCTCTGTGTGCGCATGTGTGATTTCATGCTTTACACACGACTTGAAAATAAAACGTGTGTGTCACATCTCAAATCAGAGTCTGGTGTGACTGTGGCATGAATCTAAACCCGCATTCACTAGTCCTCATGTGCAGCGCTGACGTCAGACCTGAGCAGCGGGAATCAGACGTGAGACGTGTGCGTCACCTGGTGGGCTGCGTGACAAGCACGTCGCTGCCGAGTCTGAAGCTGCTGTAGCTGTTGAAGGTCCCCGGCTCCATGGACACACCGCTCACACTGCTGTACATATGCTCCACCAGCCCGAACGTCTCCATCATCCTGAACCCTGACACACAGCAGCAGCACAGAAAATACTTCTCATGATCAGTCAACCACAGCAATCACCTCTTCAGCAGCATCCAGTCATATGGAGATGATGCCACATAAACATCAACCCATTATTAAGTGCATTACAGTGGCCACAACACTGGCGCAATTTGAACTCTGGGTAAAATGCAGCACTCATCACTGTCACTCTTTACCCCGGCGTCCAATCACAGTGGAGGGGCGGGAAAAATATCACCCGCCATCACATTCTACTTGTACGACTGAATGATAATAATGGAGAAGAGGCAAATATGGCTGGTCTCCAAATATCCATGCCTAATAACCATACCTGTCAACATTTGGGTACCAAAATACGGGAAAGCAGGGTGGGGGGGGCGGAGTCAAAAGTAATTTTTTTAATATTCTTTTTATATTAGTTTAAACAATTATTATCAAACAATTATATTCATTTAGTAACATAAATATATCTTAGCGTAGGCTATATCTTTAGAGTTTTATAATTCATTATCTTCTTGTCGATCCACCAGTTCACATTTACAACTGCGTGTTTTCTACTTTGGTCTAAACAAAGAGCAGAAAATGCAAATTCATTCTCTGCCAGCAGGTGGCGTTTTTCACCAGGAATATAGCCGTTTCCCCGGTAACCGCAGTAAACAAAGCTTGAAACTTGCAGTGCTCATATTTAATAAATTAAACCAGTGGTTCTCAAACCTGTCCTGGAGTATCCCCAGCTCTGCACATTTTGTGTCTCCCTCATCTATCACACCTGATTCAACTCATCAGCTCATTAGTGGAGACTGCAAGACCTGAAGTGGGTTTGTCAGATAGAGGGAGACATACACAATGTGCAGAGCTGGGGGTAACTTCATGGAGAGGTTTGAGAACCCCTGAATTAAACCATAGCCTTTTGAAGTGTAAGCTATATCTCAATTTACATGTATATTTAGTTTTTTTAGTCTTCTCCTCCCATTTCTACCAGTGATCATTGTTTCCTTCCTGCGCACATATCAGTAGCATCACTGGGCTGTAGGTTGCCAAGCTGAGGGGACAAATGGGTTGAAATTTGTATGCGTTGATTGTGTGAGAAAGATGCGTTTCATGCAAGATCTGGCAACTGGACAACCTTGGAATTTGTTGACGTGATTATTCATATAGTGAGGTTTGGCCCGTACAAATTACGGGAGTTTTACCGGAAGCGAATGTAGCAAACATATAATATATGCCCAGTGGGATTTTTTTAATAGAAAGATTAAAAATACGGGAGAAATACGGGAAAATATTTAAACGGTATGATAGCGGGATAGAATGGTAAAATACGGGAGAATCCCGGTGTCCTGACATCCTACACATCAGATTGTCCTACCAGGGTTTACTGCGCATGCGCACATCAATATTGCGTCCTTTTTCTCATGCTGAATAACAATATTTAATGTATCTGCATTACTGTAAGGGCAGGTTTAGGGTTGGGGTAGGTGTAGACTTTAATAAAACACAATCTAATAGGTAGAAAAAATTATTTATTGTTGGTTTCCTGTAGCTGTATCCCTTCTATCTACAACTGCGAATATAACACATAATTACCGTATTTGCATTACCGTAAGGGTAGGTTTAGGGTTGTGATAGGTGTAGACGTTAATAAACCATAATTTTACAGTTAGCATTTTTCGTTGTCGAATCGTACTGTTTTAATGGGAGGTAGCAAAATCTGACAGGGCAGCACAAATCGACAGAACACCGGGATTTGATTAAGGAGACATGCAAAACATGCAGTGTTGGGGTGCCTCCAGGACCAGGGTTGGGAACCACTGCTCTAGAGAGAGCCTTTCTCTACATCCTGTCATCAGTGGCCACTGCCTCAGAATATTTAAGAAAGCTTAACCAGAAAATAAAACATGTAAACATCCTCACAGAGACTGTGTGTGTTTGTACGGTTTACCTGGTAAAGTGCTGCCGCTCATGGGTACCGATGGACACGCTACAGACAACAAGATAGAAACACGTCAACAAACACACACACGCACACATACACACTTATCACACACACGCACACACACACACACTCACGCACACACACACAAGGTAGAAAAAATTATTTATTGTTGGTTTCCTGTAGCTGTATCCCTTCTATCTACAACTGCGAATATAACACATAATTACCGTATTTGCATTACCGTAAGGGTAGGTTTAGGGTTGTGATAGGTGTAGACGTTAATAAACCATAATTTTACAGTTAGCATTTTTCGTTGTCGAATCGTACTGTTTTAATGGGAGGTAGCAAAATCTGACAGGGCAGCACAAATCGACAGAACACCGGGAAAAACGGGAGGGATGACAGGCATGAATAACATCTCCAGACTACAGCAATATTAATATGAAAAATAATATTTGGAGGAACATGGAGAATACATGGAGCAGAGTTTAGCTCCAACCAGCTCCAGATCACACCTGCTTGTGATCCTGAAGAGCTTGATTAGCTGGATCAGGTGTGTTTGATTAGGGTTGGAGGAGCTAAACTGTGCAGAGCAGTGGCCCTCCAGGAATTGAGTTTGAGACCAGTGGTCTAGATCAGGGCTGTCCAAACTGGGTCCTGGAGGGCCGGTGTCCTGCAGAGTTTAGCTCCAACCCTAATTAAACACACCTGAAC